GATACAGATCGCAGACCTCTTAGACAATGACATAGCAGCCAAAGAAAGCCGTGTCCGACAAGGTCAAGGTCGAACGAAATGGTTAATTCTGGCTTATTTTTTCCTCATCTGCCATTGGAGGGATGAGTGTATCTGTTTCCTAAAAAACATCTACTCTATTCAAACCTGATCATAAAAACCATCATAAGCTTACGGTACATTCGGTGTGTGATACACGAAGACAAGTTGTTACACTCTGGCAGACATCGCAGGGGGTTAAGTAAGTTAAATCCTAGCAACTGCGATCTTCAAACCATGGTTCCTTAGTAGAGAAGAAGTCGCTGGAGCCCAGAATAGTAGGAACAGTTTATTGTGTACACAGAGGAACGAAGAATGAGCAGGAAGATGATTGGCTACGGAGAGCACAACCTTCCGCTGAAGGGGTTTGATCCGAAGTGCGACTCAGCTGCAAAAAATCCCCGCGACCAGAGAGGGGGTGTTTACGCGTGCAGGCTTGCAATTCATTGCCGGACCAGGACGCAGCTTTGCGGCAACTGTGATTGGCTGTTCCCAGACGTCAAGACCAACATCGGTGGGTCTTTGGGAGAGTTCACTTCGATGCGAGCTAGTCACTACGGACACTGCGCCGGATCCCGCTTTCGATTGTCCTGATACTGTCTTGCTACCGAAGCCTGGAGGGTGAGGGAGAAGAGAGTGAGGTAGATGCTGCGTACACGTAAGGTTAAGACAACATGAACTATTTCATTCACGTTGATCAAATTTTCGTTCGGTTATAAACGTGTGTCTACAGTTTCTTTGTCGGAGGTTTAATGAATAAGGACCTATATGATGAAAATAAAGTGGATGTTGCATAGCAAAGGTGAAAATTAAAACCTTGTATAATTCTTGTGGGGCTGGCTAGGATTATATGGCAAGGGACACTGCCTACCTAATTAACGCAGGCTACGCCGACCTACCATGTTTGCGCCTGAAGACACTTGACTTTACTATTCTTCCACGAGCCTCAACTGATTTACTGTATAACTCGCAAATAGTCAATTTTGGGATGCTCTAGTCCGCTCCATTCCCCAAACGGCACCCCATGTTCCTTATAGTGTTTTGATTCAATCAAGTTTTCTTGTCGTGTCACAACAAACTCCCTCTGGGACGACCCTAACTGATCAAACTGTTTAGGGACTTATTGCTGTTGTTCTTATATTTCTTCCTTTTGCAAAGTAAATAGAAGGTCGTTAATAGCTTGTGCTTGCCGGTTTCAAATATAACAGTCACCGTTTCCTATCAGAATGACGTCGTTAGTTGCTAAAGTTTGCCCTGCACTTAACTTATTCTACACCTAAAAACTTGCTGATGTTCTTGAAAAGAAGGATGGTTCCGCGTTCGATTCAGCTCTCTCCGAGCATAAATATTTCAGCGTCGTGGACTGGTGGACGGATGACCTACTGCAGCAGCTTCGTGCCGAGATTACGGCCAGTTAAACTATTCCCATCTCAATTTTCATTCTCATTTGTATTCTCATTTTGTATTCGGGCTCCATCTCTTTATTGCACTGAGGACGTACACATACTCGAGTGAAGGCGGTCTCCTTCTTAAAGCTTGTTCCCTAAACTGAGTGCAACACCTTTCGCCATAAATAGCTGACAGCAAACCCCAGTACACTGATCCTCTTGCTTGTTTACCACGTAAGATTGCGCTTATCGGCGGCCAAGTGTCTGTAAACTGACCCACTGTACTCAGCGCTAGTGCTGCCGTTAATAAATAGTAAAATTTATAGAAAAACAACGCTTTAGATTCCTATTCAGGGGACATTTATATCATATGGTATATCAGGGTAATTGAGGACTCGCTATACATTCAACCATACAATTGCAACGTCCTCATTCCGGACCACGACCTCTATTGACCGTCCTGTCCAGGCATCACTCTACATACACGTGCTAAGCGAATGGTCAAGAACACACACGCGTTCCTTGTTGACTCGGGTGTTAAAGCTGGTCTACTTCCCCTTAAGAATCAACTCCCACCTCTTAAGGTGGCAGCGCGCCTCAGCACTAGTAGTTCTTTGTGTTCATACCCACTTTGTTCCGTTTACGAATATATCAGCGATAATTTTTAAGCCTATGAATTTGAAAATAGGCATCCCGAGAAATATAATTTGACAGAAGAATTTCTTCTATCAAATTTTTAAGCCTCTTTATTACCTGCTTAAATAGGATCGTTGGTTAGATCACTCGGCAACCCATAAATGTCTTTGAACTATCAAAAACGGCTCTTACCTCCTCATCTCACCTGACTCATCACGATCCCGAAAAGCCTAGCATACTGAAATGTGACGCATCTCCATATGGCGTGGGTTTGGTTCTCATGCACAGAATGATTTCGTGTGCTAAAATGTCCCTGCCTCTAGAACTGTGTCCTGGGCGGGAACCAACTGTTCGCAACTAGATAAACGGAGCTTAATTATAGTCTTTGCCCTAAAACGTTTACAATGGCCTCCATGCGATCGAACATAAACCTTAAAGCCCCGAAGAGGACGCCGCATCCCAGCAGAATTAGTTAATTGCGTTCCTTCCTTGGGTTGGTTTCTTCCTTTAGTCGCTTTATTAATCAATTATTTAGAGTTTTGAAGTTTTGGTAAGTCATTGGAACTCAGCCAGACGCTTATTTCAGGTATGCCAGTAACGCAGTCTGTAAAGTAGTATAACCTTAGTAAGGACAAATCTTCCTCAACTACTGTCCTTCGAAATCACAATCACGTAGATATATAGGCAGGATAATCCGCTAATTTATGTCTTCGGACCGTTCATAACCTCGAATAGTCCTGTACACAATTTAGGCAATAAGGTTTTGGAAAACATTCACCTACACACAGACGTGTGCAGGCCGTCAAGGCATTGAAGTAATAGGATCCAAATGAAAATTTAAGTGAAGTGCATAAGAGAAGTAGAAAATTCGCCGAGACTGTGATAGTTTAACTGACTGCAATCATAGCACGAAGCTTCTGCAGTAGGGCCGTGGTAGTCCCCGACCAGCGTCACCAGGCATTCGTCTGCCATTTTTTGTATACCATGCGGGTGACAATCTTTCCTGCGCACTCTTGTCCGTCCCACTTTCCTTCTCGATCCGCTGTAGGGCCATACGTGGTGTCCGTCTCACGGCAGGCTCTTAGTCGCGAGCTCCAAGCCAATCAGTGTGCACCATTTCCTGATCGGCTGCAGGCAACAAAGATCGTAAACGCTTACGTTACCCATGCTTCTGGTGGCTATTTAAAACTGCAATATCGTATAAGTCGACGCTACAAAACTATCTTAAATAAAAGGATTTACCGACAAGGACTATGATTGCTCAATGGATTTATACAATCAAACTTTTCCGAAAGGTAAAACGGCCCAGCCATTGTCGTAATTCCTTTTTATACCGTAGAGAGCTGATCCATGAAACAAACGGCCGCCATTGCTTCTGAAAGCGAGCAAAAGTTAAAGCTTATGCTGTTCGTAGAGATAACTTACGGAGCGTAGTATACTCTGCGGTATAGTAACACATGGAAAGCCACGGCGTAGGTGTAGGTCCGAATAGATATTCCTAAAATTCGCATAGTATGCAATCCACTTGTGGGTTTGTAGTGGACTCTAACAGACACTTGGAACCCAAGATCAGCCGCTGACGCATGACGCCTTTGGCCTGCAAGGCCCTCGCCTGCAAGCCAGCCTTAGCCCATTTCAAGGTCGCGCCCTATCGCTAGTCTAGACATCAGCCACGTGATTGGCTACTGTAACAAAGCATGCACCGGCCATCCGGCTATTCCCGAAACTGTCGTCACTCCGGAATTGACGGTCTGGCAGCCGGACTGCGGTCATCCGAGAGTCAAAACTCTTTCCACCTATTATTTTATCCTTCTGCAGAATACACTATTCCTAACAAACTGGCTTTCCCACCGTCTTCTCGCCTCACGTAAAGGAACCATTGGCCTGGAAGATCGTAGCTGTTAAGTTTAACCTTCTTAGCCTTAACATCCGTGATACAACCACGAGGTCTGGATTCGCTTACTTGAGTCATATCGGTTTTGCTTAAAACGCCCATCTCGATTTGCGAAAGCATTTGAAAACGCGATTTCTTATCGGTTGGTATAGTGAGTAACGCACGAAGAAGCGGCAGAGTGATATCTGATTGAAATTTCGTGATAAAGCTTTCCAAAGCAATCTGCCTATCCATCGACATTTGTAGGCCATCGATTCATTGAATAGGTAGAATAGAAATACAGAATAATAAGCGAAAGACACAACTGGAGATCTGGTTAAGACTGGAACAATTTAATCAGTCGTCAGCACGGCACGAAGCTTCTGCAATAGGCCACCCGTCCACGTGTCCACAAAGTTGAATGATTTGTGTTTGGTGAGGGCTGAATCGAAGGCGGAAACGTCCTTCTTTTCCAGGGCATCTACAAGTTTCTAGGTGTAGAAGACAGTAAGTTGAGGGCAGACTTTAGAATCCACCAACGAAATTCTGACAGGGCAAAATGACTGTTAAATCTGAAACTGCCAAGTATAAGCTACGCTTGTCCGATAATTAACTTCAATCCATCCCATTTGCCTTGCAATAAAACGAAGCATGTGGAAACAGCCATTCCAGTCTTCGAAAACGGGTCTCAACTACCAATTTCTAGTTACCATGCGACTGTTGGAGAGAGCTTTAGAATGGAACTTCCACAGAAAACGAAGTCTTCCGTGATCTGTCTTGCAGATGGGAAACTCCTCGACTATCCCATTCTTCGCGTTACAAAAGTCTCGGCGGCCATTTTCCTTGGGGATAACATTCTGATTTTGCTGGACTATGAAAATAAGAGGGACCCCGCGCAGATGAAAGAAAACGCAGACCTAGCGGCGATAAAAAGGAATGTATCAGAGTTGGAAAAGGAAGAATTTGAAAAATTGCTTTATGTCAAATTTGGTCCACTGTTTAATAGGAAAGTGTTTAGGGCTTCACTGCCAGTAAAATCTGTTGGAAGCCCACTCGACCTGGACACGAGAATAAGTGCTGCCTCTATCACAAGTGGCTTCGTGCTAAATTCCAGCTGGCCACCTAGTTCGTGGATTATTAACCTAAACCCTAACCCAAATAAAACATAACCCTCCCCCTCTCTAAGTGTTAGTACAAGGCAATCTGTAATACGATGCGTACTTACTCCCACTTCTGACCGCCGTTCACATATATTCGAATTGTTCATTAAAGTTACTAAAAAGGCAGATATTATACTGCAAATGCGTTATCTTGGAAATTAAACACCTCGTCTTACAGGTTAATGCTACATTACATTGACTGGAATGACTGTCATGCAATACGTGACTTTGCAAGCACTCATTAACTAACTAGCCCGTCCACGCTCAAGGCAATATCTTGGGCTGGGAAATTAATTAACTATGAATAGAAAATCATCCAAAAAGAACCGTTGAATTTATGCCTACAGTGACTGGACGCGTAAAGATATACTGCTAAAAGAATTTACACGTTAAACAGTAGGATGGTATGAGTAACCACAGGAATTCTCACCTTCATAAGATTGCAGTTTTCGGTAAAACCGAAAACGGGGTATTCATTAGCATACGCCAGCAAATACTGTTTTCCAATAGAAAGGTCATGACAAAGGTTGCAGAGAACGATTGCAGTCGTATAATATCTCATGTTATAGTACTCCATTGTCTTTAGGTTGCTTTTAAGAATCTTAAAGATAGACAAAACAAGACTTAAGGAAACGTACATATAAAAGAAGGCAAAACTGAAAGATTGAACATCGAACGTGGTAGAACTTATTGCTCGTACCTGCGATTAGACTAGTTTATCCGGCAGATGGAACTGACCGATATTTCGTGGACTAACGCAAATATATAGTTACTGACTCTCCAGCGTACGTGCGGCTGGCGCATAATGGAACAGATTTCAATAAAAAGTATCCATTATATAAAAATTCTCCGAAAGCAGAAACAGCACGCCGGAGGCTGATGCTTGGTATGGGAGCAGCCTTGAAACATACCGAAGAGCCCGATGAAAATGGGCATCGTAATAAGGCACTAATTAAATGTTTCATCGGAAATCTACCTCGTCATCACCGACCTCTAGGGAGCTTCTCCAGCTAAAGTACTAGATGAGCCACCCTCGAACGAACAACCCGAAGCCCTGTTTGGTACCAGCCAGCACACAAAGTTTCTGAGAAATTTAATGTCTCCCCATTTTCTTCACTGCGATTCACGCTACGGAATTCACCTTTCCGCGGCACTCAGCCACCCTGGTTTGGGCGAATAGTATGCCAGTTGATATATGCAATCGAACATGGAATCCTGGCACTAGATTGCGGAGCCAATGAATCTCTGTTGATCCTGGCGACGGGAGTCTGACTGTTTGCAGCCAACTCACAATCCCTGTTGACTCGGGACGTAAAACTGGCCTCGGTCTGCTTGAGAATCAACTCCAATCGTTGAAGGCGGAGCCGCGCAGCAGCGACAGTAATTAAGATAAGGATTCTTTATAAACATTATCACAGTAACAGAAACCCCAAGTATGACTAATACTGGACCGATGGTAATAGGGGTTATATAGATGGAGCATATCAGGGGAATGAAAAAAATAATAAAACCAAAAATGAACTAAATTCAACTAAATTAACACTAATAAAACTGAATAATAAACTAAAAACTAAAAGCAAACTGAACTAAACTAGAAATAAACTAGACAATACTGAACTAAAAACTCAAGAGAACTAAACGTAAACTAATAAAAATAAATAGAAAACTAATAAATAAAAAGTAATAAACCACAACAAAATAAGTAGTTATTAATGTGAAGTAAAATACGGTGTTGTTTATAAACCATCCTCATCGTAGTTAATTATGTTCCTGCACACTTCATTCCCTTTATGGATCAATCGGCGACAAATTCGAAGCTAACATATTGCCTACTTAAAAAGAAGCCGTTGATTCAACTACTCAACGATCCAAAAATGTTTTTAAGCAAGCAAAAAGGCTCTTCACCCCTCATCTTTCCAGATCCATTACAATCCCGACGAACGTATCATAAATACGTCTCAGTACGACATTCACCGAATGTCATGTGGTGACGAGATGTGGAGCGCCTTTGTCCTAGGCCTAAACCAACTAACGCAACTAGATATAGAGGCCCTAGCAATAATGCTCGGCCTGCGATGCTTCCAATTGTATCTTTAAATAGTTAATCACGGCCCCATACTACGCGGCTTCAAAGAGCATCACCAAATGCGAAGTTTAGACAATAAAACACGAGCTAGCAAAAAAGCCGCAACGGGACTTAACCACATAGCATTTTGCAGCTAATGTGTAACAGCAAACGATGAAAGCGGTTATTTGACTGCAAAACTCTTTTTCAAGCCGCAGTCGCGCACACGATTCTATCGTAATGGCGTAAGTTAATAGGTAGAAACCTTGCCACTGCGATCTTTAGGCCTGGTTCTGTGTGAGAAGATAGGAAGTGGGACGCCATGTTGGAGGAATAGTTTACTCTATACAGAGCTAGTGGAGAATAGGTTGAAGGAAGTTGACAGTCGGAAAAGCATGTGTCCAGACCCGAGAGGGCATCCGAAGTGTGAGAGCGTCACAGTGGGGTCCTATGTGTGTCAGCGTTGAAGGTAATCGAACAGGTCGGACTGGAGTGGGCAGACTCTGGTGCGTACGCACTTGCTTGGAGCCGTGAGAGATTGAGCGTTGCACGCGGAATTGGGTCACTGAACTTCGGACTCCTCATCGTTCGGCGCAGGATAAGGTCATCGAAAAACAGATGAAGATGAGAGGACGATAGTGCATGCTCACACGACCTCCAATCTTCGCGCCTAACGAACTGGTTTCGAGCGGCAGTTCGAATAAGTGAGTGGCAAATAGTCGAATTAGCTCCAAAAAATGGGAGAATTATTTGTCGATATCTGGATAAAGTTCGTAGCCGAACGGCCATAGACAGTGAAGAATTCGGAAAGTCCAAATTACCAGTAATCCCTTAATATTGACTCCAGCATTATGTGGACAGAATGTCTGCTGCCTACACAGACCAGAACGCCGCCAGCCGTCCACCTGTTACCCTGGCCAGCATTACCTAGGGGGCAAAAGAATTGTGGCGGGCAGGCAAAACTTTGACAGCCAACTGAACGCAGTCAACACTAGGTCTGGCATCGCCAGTGACCACTGCTGACTGGGACAATGTTACGGGGACGCGAGCGGCTATGCACTCAGACCCTACGGCCAGAAACGCACACCAGTTGAGTCAGGCCCGTAGGCCGGCTGCGTACGCCTTCCCCTCGAGCACACGTGACGCTCGCGCACACGTGCTGTGCAGATGCTCTAAAAACGTCTCCCAGCGTCGCAGCGTGAGAGACCACGAATCAACGTGCACGCCACCACCCCCTCGCACGCTATAG